GGGCCTTTCCTCTATTTGCGGGCCTGGGACGTCCAGGCGCCGGCAGATAGAGGGTCTCCTGCGCGCCCCAGGTGTGGCGGACCCGCAAGCTTCGCTTTTCACTTGCTTTCCTGCCCCTCTGGAAGGAGAGAACTTGAGCATCTGAGGGTCTCAGAGGGAGGGGATCAGGGCCGGCGGCGCCCTTGGAGTACCAGTCTCCACTTGTGCGGGAGACGCCTTCACGTTTGTTACATTATACAACGGGGAGAAATCTATTTTTACTGAATATATTTTTAATTTTCTCTTTGTAGTGGCTGTAGCAAACAGATTTTTTAAATCGTTAGCCCACCACCAGCACATCCACCCTTAACATCTCAAAGCCACTGCTTTCTGGTTTTCATTTCGTCATCTCGATTCATACACAGCACAATGCAAGTTTCACCGCTCTAATCATGATTATCTTCTTGGCCGCGTTTTTCCTCGTTCTTGGAGCATCACGGTTTAATAAGGAGTTCCCCACATGATGAACATTTGAGATGTTTCCCTTTTCTTTGCAAAAAAAAAACTCCAGGTAGCATAGTACTAAAGATTTTTGCAAATCAAATTATCAGAAAAAATAGGAACAGGAAATTGAATAAAAATTAAATAAAACTGGAAAAATTAAACTCTCAGATTTGAAGAAGAAAGAAAAACATCACCAGTAGAAAGAAACATTTTTACCTACACAAACACCGAGACTCTTACAATTAAAAAGAACTAACCGGAAAGGGAAAGAAAGCAGAGAGCTAGGATATGATTTGTATATTATTTGTATCTGGTGCAAGTTTTTCATACTCGTGAAAAGAAAATAATATCAAGATTATAAAATATCAAATGATGAATCACTTGCAGAATAAAATACAAATTAAAGCAAGTCTGGATTATCATTTTACATCTATTAACAAACACAACAGTAATAGTAACAGCAACCCCTGCTGGAAGTTTGCCTTGAAACCTGCGTATTCAGTTATCTGGGGAGGTGGCAGGGCTTCCAGGTTAGAAAGATGGCTCTGTAACTAACTTTTTGACTTTGGATAGGTTACCTCATTTCCTAATTCTCCTCTTGTCCATTCATAAAATAGAGGAGATGATACCTACTTCCGGAGTTTGTTAAAGATTATTTTAACCATCTATGTAAAACAAATCCTTGATATACATACCTTTATTCTTTTCCTAGTCACATCCTACTGGGGACATTGTAAATTGGTACAAACCTTTTGTAAAGCAATCAGGTAATACTTTAAGAAGTTAAAAGTGACCCAGAAACCACACTCCTGGGAATTTACTTAGCAATGGAAGAAACACACAAGAAAATCAATTAATTAAAGGCCCTATGCAAGCCCATATTTGGGGCAGAATGACCTAAAATTAGAACCAACTGGGAAATAACCTCAACGTGTTAACAGCAGAGCAGTAGCTAAGAAATCATGGCACATTAACTGAAAAGAGCATTATGCAATCATGGAAACTCATTATTTTGGAGCCCATGATAACTGGGAAAAGACTGACAGTTCAGGGTGCTGGTTACTGAACTGAATCTGCTTACTCATATGTGAATGCATGTGTGAAAATCTGAAAGGAAAAGCAAAAAAAAAAAAAGTTTTAATAGACATAGGTGATTTAATTTTTTTGTTGTCAATGTATTGTTTTTCTAAATGTAATTTTTTAAACGAAATGGACTGTTTTCTGTGTGTGAAAGAGGGAGCGCTCAGTGTCACGTTTGCTTTTTTAGCTGACTTCTTTTCTTTGAATATTTCCCTTTTTTTTCCTGAATAGATTTTTTAGTGGTTTATAACATATACTAAGCTTTCCTTTTAAGGAATCAGATCTTAGATTTATTGATCAAGCCTAGTTTTTTCTTTTTCTTTTCAAGGACTCCTGCATATATTTGAAAACTGAACAATTTCAGCCAAGCTGAAGCATTGTCTTCCCGGAGGCACGAATCCAGCTTAGCTGAGCCACAACAGATGTAGGTACCCTGTGGAATCTCTTTGGTCTTATAATGGTTGAAAGTCCCTAATTGTCACAGAAAATTAAGGTCTGGAAAGGCCTTGAGCAAAAGCCCCTGCTCTGGAGGCCACTTGGGTCTATATGTGTAACTCGCACCTATTGCATCATCCTTTCTTACAAAATCAGCTTGATTTTGCAGAGAAAGGGCCACCATTTTCTCTAGAATCATGCTGAATTATGTAAGGAAGCAATCATTATAAAAACAATAAAACAATAACAAACATTTCTGCACCAAATTAACACTGAAGGTGACTATCAACCGACAAAAAGCTTTATGAGAAAAGGTTTTCTATGCTGTAGTTTTAACTTATCTATTCCATTCTCTCTTTTCGGATCTTGTTTCGTCTTCCAAGACAACTATACCAGCTGTGAACTGCCATGTATTAAATATTCAGAACGTGCCTGTATCTAACTTGGTGATGGCTGCAACATTATCAAGTCATTCTTGAGTAAATATTTTTTGCAGCAGTTCTTACAGTTGGGAGAATTTTTTTCTCAATTTGGTTATCTTTTTTCTCCTGGTATAGTCTCCTTATTTCTGTCATAGTATTGTGTGATCACATCTAAGGAGGTGTGCTCTTTTTATGAAAAGCATTACAAACGTTTTTAAGTGCTGCTTCTGAGGACCTAGCTCTGAAGCGCATGGCCAAGAGTGAATTTCCCTGTGCAGCTTTGTTATAGATTCTCAAATCCCATTGCTAGGCACTCCCAGGTTCTTGGCTTGAGATAGGCTCCAGCTATGTTGCTTTTTAAAAGCTCTTCAGTTACTTCTGAGGATGGACCAAGTGGGGGCTCCTTTGCCCTATACAGTCCAGAGCTGGGACTCAAAGTAGTAATGAAAAACTCCCACCTCAAAATGTTCTGTGAAGTTTTTGTATAGCTTACATCAGATTCTTTAAGAGGCAATGACCTCAAAAAGATTAAAATACAGTGGTCTCTCGTTATCTGAGGTTTTGCTTTCTGCAAATATTAAATGGAAAATTCCAGAAATAATTCATAAATTTTAAATTGGGTACAGTTATGAATACTTCACTTCATCTCATCATATAGGCATTATATAATCTCACATCATTAAGGGTGAATACAGTACAATAAGATATTTTAAGAGAGAAACCAAATTCACATAACTTTTATGACAGTATATTGTTATAATTGTTCTATTTTATTATTAGTTATTGTCGTTAGTCTCTTACCATGCCTAATTTATAAATCAAACATTATGATAGGTATGAAGGTATAGGAAAAAACAAAGTATATATAGGGTTCAGTACTATCCACAATTTCAGGCATCCACTGGGGATCCTGGAATGTATCCACCCACAGATAAGGGGGGAGTACTTTGTGACAAATGAGTTCTACTTAGCTCAGGAAAGACAGAAAATTTCCCTGGGGGGTGGGGGCTGTTTGGTGTCCCTTCTCAATAAACCAGTTAAATTTCAAGTTATAACATGTTCTGAGTATCAGAAGTTTGGCCCCTGGCACACAGCCATTGGACAAGTTCCTACCAGCTGTGACCCAGTCCTTGTGTATAAATGGGAATAGGAGGATTGGGGTAAGCCTTGGATCTTTTTTGTACCTTCTCTCTAATTCCATGGCTGTGTCATTCTACTCGTGTGCCAGTGTCATGTGATCTTATTTATCATAGCTTTACAATGCATTCTAATACCTGGCAGGCTAATGCACCCTAGATTTTCTTCCTGTTCAATAGTTTCTTCAGTCTTCTTAATATTGAGTATCGCTTCATCATGTTCTTTGAAATCCACTTTGAATTTTGACTGAAATTGTGTTAACTTTATAGATTATTTAGAAATGAATTGGTATCTTTCAGTACTGATCCTCTCAACCAAAAACATATGTCTTTCTCTTTTTTCTAGGCTGCCTTTATGTCTCTCATTAAAATTTTATCACTTTTCTCATATAAGTACTATTTATTTTTGGATTAAAACTTAGATATTTTGAATTTTTTATTGTCATTAAGAATGGAATGGTATTTTCCATGCTAAGTCTCCTAATTCCAATTAATCTGGTGACTTGCCGTTGTGTTATATATTGATTTCAAAAACTGCCACCCTAACAAGTTCACTCAATTATTCTAAGACGTCTCTGGTTGCTTTTCCAGATATAAAGTCATACTTGGCTAGAACCCCCATAACAATCTGTAAGAACAGTGATTGCTTGCATTCTCGTTTTGTTCACTACGTTAATCAGAATGCCTTTCCTTTTTCAATGAAGATGGGGCGCAGGCTGTGTTTGTGGTAGTGATTTCCATCTCAGTGATGGACAGGGACTACCTTCTAGTTCTATAGAAACTATTTCAGCAGTTTAAACTTAAAAAATCAGGAATGGATGTTGATTTTAATTGGAAACTTTTCAGCATCTGCAGAGAATCTTTTTTTCCCTACCCTGTTAATAGATTTCCTGATTTTGAGCCATCCTTGTACTCTGAAAGTAATCCTTAGTATGTTCTTTTACTAAACTGTTTGAATCAGTTTGGCGGTATTTTCTTTTGGATTTCAGCACCTGTTTTGTTGGAGGCTGGGTGGCTAAGAGTGAGGGCCCTGCACTCGTAATCTTGAGATTTGAATTTTGACCTTTTATGCCCTTAACTATTAACACTAATTCTCAGGTGAAGGTGCCTAACTGTTTATTTCTACTAAGTTCTAGATTCTGAAAACAATCGCCTAAACTGATACTCCCACTTGAGTATCTCACAGATGTAGCAAAATTAATGTGTCCAAACTAAAACCCTCCGTTTCCTCTGCCAAGCGTGGCCCTCCACTTTTTCCCCCTAATTTGGTAGATGACATTGCCACCGTCTACCTGGTCACAAAAGCCATGAACGTAGTTAACTCCCACTCCTACATTCACTCTATCAGCAAGTCCTAATTGGTTCTTTCTGCAAAATACATCTCATTTGTTCCTAGACCCTCTGCAGCACCGTCGTCATCCCAGGCCATCATCTTGCTGCAATTATTTTCTAACCGATCTCACCATTTCCTTTCCTGCCGACCTAAATTTTTTTTTTTTTTTTTACATAACAAACAGGGTGAGCTTTTTAAAAAACAAACCTATCATGTTGTTCTCATAAGTCTCTTTAGTGGCTCCCCACTGCACTGGGAATAAAATGGAAACTCTCTCTATGGCACATGAGGCCATGGTGATCTGGCCCTCACCCACTCCAGTCTCATCAGGCTCCAGATACATCTTCTTTTTGGTGCTCGAACCCACCGTCACTCTGTCCTCAGCCCCTAGCACAATGCTAGAACCTTAGTAAACACTAAATATGTATTTATTGAATGAATCAATAACTATTATACTGTAAACATTTCATTATCATATGTCTTTTTGACAACTTTTTTCTTCATTTCTTCTGTGGTTATTGATCAAGTTTTCTGTTTCTTTAAAAACTAGCACATTAATAGTTATTTCATAAGTATCCGTTGAATGAATTAATTTTAAAGGTGATATTTGTAATTTATATTTTTATAGAAAGGCAGTCCATCTCACACAAATTTTTAATTCATAAAGCAAAGTTGTGTATAGTAAGTTCTTGCCTTTTTAAAGCCTAGTCTTCCTAAGGAATCAGTATGGAGCTGTTGTGTTTTCCAGTGGTTTGTGTTTACATATATATTACATTTTTTTAAATAACTTGATTTTATTTAGAAATTCCACATTTTTCTGGGTTTTATTTATTAAACTCTACTTTCATCTCTATTATTTCTTTATAACTATGATGCTTTATTTTGAAATTTTTCCTTTTCGGGTTTTTTTTACTTCGATAATCATTTATTTCACTTATTTTCATTCTGTCTGTTCAGTTACACCACGCGCACTCCTTTAATAGTCACGTGGGTTTCTGTATTCTCACATCCTTCCCCTCCCTCTCTTTGTTTCCTCTGGCTAGCCTGATAAGTGTAAGTGAAATGTCTTTTTCGTTGTTGTTGTTTGTCTCATTTTATCTGATTCTTAATGTTTTTTGACTATTTTTTCATACTCTTTTGGGTTTCCCTCTTTTGTAAATTATCAGTTTATAGATTTTGGCCATTTTTCTGTTGGAATTACTGTCTCGTATTACTTTGTAATAATTCCTTGTAGGCTCTAGAATGACTCCTCTGTTGGTCTGAAATACTACAAATATTTGTTTACCATTGTATACTCTTTCTGATAACTTTGTCCATAGTGTTCGTACCGTCGAACAGGAATCCTTCATTTTTATGTAATAAAATTCTCCAATTATTTGTCTCATGGTTTGTGCTTTTATTTTAAAAAGTCTTTCCCCTACTCCTCTTCCAGGTGACAAAGACATTCACCTACATTTTTTTCTTTTATTGTATTTTTCTTCTGTTGTACTTTGACCTTTCACACTTTGGTCTGTAGTCTGCTTCCACATGTGGTATTAGGGATTCAGTTTCATTTTTCTCCAGTTTCTCAGAAGTATACACTAAACAAACCTTCCTTTCTCCATTGATCTGTGGTGTCCACTTTATTGTATATCAGGTCCCTACCACAGTATGTATACATCTGTTTATCTCTGAACTTGCTGGTCCACTTTCTTTGGTCTATTGGTCTGTCATTAGACTTTTGCCATATGGTCTTTATTACTACAGCTTGTAGGGTTAATGTCTGATATGGCAGGTTCCTTCCTTTTTCCTTTTTAAGATTGAGTTTGCTATTCATGGACTTTTTTTTTCCCTTTGTGATTTTATCGAACTCAAAATATCCAGTTAGAATTTTGATTGTCATTTTACTGAAGTTTTTGGTTCATTTAGGGGTGAATGAATCTTTATAATACTAGGTTGTCCTGATCATGACCATGGGAATACCTTTCCAGTTTTACAGATCATCACCTGTGCTTTTTATTAGAGTTTAAAATATTTTTTCTTGGTTAAGTCAACTTATAGATACTTTACATTTTGGTTTGCTATTGTGAATATCTCATTTCTTTAAAATTTTTTTCTAGTCAGTTATTGCTGGTGTAGAGAAAGGCTGATGATTTTCATAGGCCAATCTTGTATCCCACAAGTGTGCTGAACTCTAATTCTGGGTCTCATGTTACCTCTGTTGAGCCTGATGGATTTTCTATGTATATGATCACATTAATTTCAAATAATGACAGCTGGAGCTCTTTCCTTGCAGTTCTTACACTGGTTACTTCTCTATCTTTGCATATGGCATTGAACAGGACCTCCAGTCCTCAGACAGGGGACATCCTTGTCTCGTTTTTTATCTTAAAAGAAATACATTCAAAGGTTATCCATTAAATATGTTTGCTATTTTTGTTATATAACCTTTATCAAATTAGGGGATTTTCATCCTATTCCTAGGCTGCTAAGAGTATTTTTTTTTTAGTATTAGGTATAGATCTTTATCAAATACTTAATATCTTGAAATATACCACAACCTGGGCCACAGCCTGACCCTTCACAGAGAGTGTCTTATATGAATAATGTCATAGCACAGCTAGAGATTCAGAAACCCAGTCTCCATTCCCAGCAATTTCACTACCTAACACTGTACTCAGATACGTCATTTGACTTTTCTGAATCTTGGTGGCCAAATTTGTGGAGTGAGAAGTTTATATTAAATACTATAAGATCTCTCTTATTTTATCACAAACAGAAAGAGATTCTCCTATAAGCTCTCATGTAAGCTTTGAGGCCCTCTTATCCAAGGCATTTCAATAATGGTAGGAAGAATATAAACAAGATGATAATTAATTTATTTGTTTCATCATTCTTTTTTCTGAATATTATCCAATTTAATCTTTAGCTCTGAAGGTTATGAAAAATAATTTTCTAGCACTTGATGCCACTTTTCTTTGAAGATAAACCTAACGTTGGGGATAAGACTAACATCAGCATTACTAGCGTAGGCCATTTTTGGTTTGATGGCATATGATATTTTTGAGCATATGGTTTGACGTGGGGTACAGTAGAAACTGTTTAATTATCATTGTACTATGTGTGTTTGAGCCCTCCCCTTGGACTCAAGCACCCAGGGTACATGACGTCTTCAGTTTCAAAAGAGATTTTTAATTGCATAAACATACATTCTGCAAAGGGTCATAAATTATCACCCAGGATACTTGGTTTGTTTGTTTTTTACTTAAACTGTATTAGCCCTTTTATATAAGACATGTTTTTCACCAAAAATTAGAAGAAAATAAGTCACTCATGAACCATTACCGTTACATGTTGAATTAAAACTCATTCAGTGAATGATTGACTGCAGATCACCTTGAACACAGCCATTCTTAGCCCACTTTGAGCAGCTTCATCTCTCTGTCTACCCATCTCTAGAGAGAAAGAGAAATCTACAAGCGGGCTTGCAAAATCCTGAATGTTTACTGCTTCCCCCCTCCCCCCTCCCCCCACACATACACACAAATTGTATTCCTTTGAGGAAATTCTTGTTGGCAGTTATATGTTCAGGGGATATTAATTCCTTCACTTAACAAATATCTATTGTGTGCCTGTCGTGTACCAGGCACTGCCCTAGCCCCTGAGGAGACAGCAGTAAACAAGAGACTCATTTCCTATTACATTCTGCAGAGGAGAGAAGACAGAAACCAGTTATTTACAAAGTTATTTCCTTACTGTGGCACCCACAGTTAGGGATTTTCCTAACCAGACTTCCATAGGGGCCACACCAGAGCCCTCGAGGCAGTCCACCCGGCAACCTGGGACTTGTCTCTACCTGCAGTTCCCACAGTGACTGCTCAAGTTTAAAGGCATGAGCTCCTGTTGGTGACTAAAGGATTCTCCTTGGCGTAGAAGCTCCAGGCCCCACAGGGGCTGATGTTCTTTATAACAGCCCGATGGGCATTTATAAAGATGTGCCGGTTGCAAGAACCACTGCTCTAAAGAAGCCCAAACCTATGGCAAACCCACCGGGTGTTTATAGGTTTTCCCAGCCCAATTGTAATTTATCAATCAGAGGCTATTTTTACCATAAGCAGTGTTGCTGGCATTCCACTTTTATCAAGTGCTAGAAATTATCTTAAGGTCAAATTTGGCCTTAGAGAAGGAGAAAGCATTATGTTAACCCTTTAGCTGCAGTTACTTTAGTCATAAGTGCTGCAAAGTACAGAGTGAAGAGCGCTTATGACCAAGGAGCTGATGCACTGCTATGCATTCATTCATTCATTCATTCATTTATTCATTATGCAGCAAATGTTAAGTCGTTTCAGCATAAACATAGTGCTCTGTGACACCCTCTTTATTTTGCAGATAAGTCATCATGGTGAAAAACTACATAGGCGGTTGGATCCTGGTTCTCTTTGTGGCCACATGGAGCGACGTGGGTCTCTGCAAGAAACGACCGAAGCCTGGAGGAGGAGGGAGCAGTGGGGGGAGCCGATACCCGGGGCAGGGGAGTCCTGGAGGCAACCGCTACCCACCCCAGGGTGGTGGTGGCTGGGGCCAGCCCCATGGCGGCGGCTGGGGTCAGCCCCACGGTGGAGGCTGGGGACAGCCCCACGGTGGAGGCTGGGGTCAGCCCCATGGTGGAGGCTGGGGACAGCCCCATGGAGGAGGCTGGGGTCAAGGTGGCGGCACCCACAGTCAGTGGAACAAGCCCAGTAAGCCAAAAACCAACTTAAAGCATGTGGCAGGAGCTGCTGCAGCTGGGGCCGTGGTGGGGGGCCTCGGCGGCTACATGTTGGGAAGTGCCATGAACAGGCCCCTGTTACATTTTGGCAATGACTATGAGGATCGTTACTATCGTGAAAACATGTACCGTTACCCCAACCAAGTGTACTACAGGCCCGTGGATCAGTACAACAACCAGAACAGCTTTGTGCACGACTGCGTCAACATCACGGTCAAGCAGCACACGGTCACCACCACCACCAAGGGGGAGAACTTCACTGAGACCGACGTGAAGATGATGGAGCGCGTGGTGGAGCAGATGTGCATCACCCAGTACCAGCAGGAGTCGCGGGCTGCGTACCACAGAGGGGCGAGCGTAGTCGTCTTCTCCTCCCCTCCCGTGATCCTGCTCATCTCTTTCCTCATTTTCCTGATAGTGGGATGAGGGTGGCCTTCTGTTTTCACCATCTTCTTCATCTTATACGAGGTTGGGGAAGGGGGTATCTACCTACAGCCCTTTAGTGGAGGTGTGTCATTCTCGCTTGTCCTTTTGTCATCTGTAGGCTAATACCCTTGGCACTGATGGCACAGAGAAGTGTAGCATGGCCTGGTAACGCTATGTATTCCAGCCCCATGTGATTGAGTCCTTCACAGGCCAGTGCGAATGCCGGGCTGGTACGAGTGTAACAGCAAATAATTATTGGTTGATCTAGGCTTATTTTTCATCTAGTGCAATGGATTGAGGCTAAAACAATTCTCAAACCAGTCTTCGAATACATTCGCCTAAATACCTTCAATCCCGTCCCCAGCTAGAGCTCAGTACACTAATGCCCCATCTCGGCAGTGATTTTGTAGCAATTCGGACACATTTTCTCATTCGTTTTAGGGATACCTGACTGCATTTCCCTGTTCAAACAGCATTTCTGCCAAATTTGGAAGGAAGCCACATGATACTCATTTAAAGAACAAAACGAGAAATCCTTAGCCCTTGAGCCTGGGTTCTGCCCACTGGAGAGCATGTGGCCTGTGTCTGCAGAGAACTGTGACAATGTTTTGCATTTTGCAGTACAGGCTACACAGCAGCTATTGCATCAAGAGTAAATATTCATGCAACATTAGACCTCTGGACAGAGGACATTTTCATAGGGAATGAATATACTAACATAATATGAAAGGCTTCTGGGACTAAAAATACCCAACATTTGGGAGTGGTGCCCGTGGGGGGTAGATGTTTAAAGCACCTACATGTGGCATTCCATTCTTTAGTAACAAACTGTAGATAAGTAAGTCAGTTTTAAATTACTTTCTGGAGACTAAGAACAATTCTCTTTTCGTTTACCAGAACTAGGAATGATTTTGACTTTGGGTAAAGCCAGGAGACTTTAACATATTGGAAGCTGCAGCTGTAGAAACGCCATTATCAAAAGATTGTGTGATGCAGAAAGCGATCGGTGTACAAAGAAAAGAAATGCTTGCGTTTCTTCATTGCTATCTCATAATTGTCAAAAACCAGAATTAAGTCGAGTCCTTCGTTTTTGTAATTGGATTTTGAATCAAAGAACAGGGAGTTAATCTAAAAAAAAAAAAAAAAAATCTTAGGATGGAGATGACAGAAATATGGTCCATTCAGAGTGTAAAAAGAAATTGTTATTGTTATTTAAGTAAGGTAAAATTATTCCCTGAATCATTCAATATTGCCACCTAGCAGATCTATATTACTATTCTGCAATGTTATTGGCTTGTATTGTGCGGGTATTCTATGTAAAAAAATATATATATATCGCATATGACAACCTTAGAAGTTTTGGTTAGAGCAGTTAACAGCTGAAGTATCTAATGCATTTAACCTGTTTTTGTAAGGTACTAAATATTTAATATGTAGGAAACCCTTTTGTTTGGTCCTTAAGCTTACAACATGCACCGAATTAGTTTTGTATGAGGTCCAAAGTGGTCTTCGAAATAAGCATGTACTTTATATTTTCTATATTTGTAACTTCGCATGTACTTGTTTTGTTGTATAAAAAAATTTATAAATGTTTAATATCTGACAACAATTAAACAAGAGCTGAGCTGCATCTTCCGTGGAGTTTGCAGTTGCAGTCACTAGAGCATGGGTCACCTCCTGCTGGAGCCTCTAGGCTGGAGGCCACCAGGGTGCTTGGGGCTGGAGCCCTTCTCTTTCTAACTGTCCTGCCCTTTCCTCCCTCACTAAAAACAAACAATAAACACGAAGTCATTATCTTAAATTTTGTATTGGGCAAAGATATCAATTGTCAATAACCCTTAGCACCCTTACTCAACCCAATGACTATAGGAAAACTTAACAGGACTCCATTTTCGTTGCTGATCATACCATCTCTATGAGTTTGTTAGGGCTGCCATAACAAAGTAGCACAGACGGGGTGGTTTAAACTGTGAGAAATTTATTTTCTCACAGTTCTGAGGCTGGAAGTCCAAGATCAAGGTGTCAGCAGCGTTGGTTTTTGATTTTTCTTGTTTTTTGGGGTTTTTTTTTGTGTGTGTGTGGTTTTGTTGTTTTTTTGAGGCCTCTCTCCTTGGCTTGTAGATGGCTATCTTTACTCTTATGTCTTCACATGATCTTCACTCTGCGCGTCTCTGTGTCCTGTCCTAATCTCTTTTTATAAGGATACCAGTCATCATATTGGCTTTTAACTTTAACTCTTTGAAGGCCCTATCTCCAAATGCAGTCATTTTGAAGTATTAGGAAGTAGGACTTCAACACATAAATTTTGTGGGGACACAGTTCAGCCAGCCCATAATACTGTCTTTGTAGAAATGTCATGACAGTGTGTCAGTGTCACTCTCAGCATAGTTTAAGGGTATTCCCAGTACTAAGGGGGCCTCACATTCACACACGCCCCCAGGCTTCTCATAATAAAAAGAACCATCATCTGGTTTACTTTGTGCTCCACACACTGGACCACTGTCCACCACTCCATGTATGATTGCCAAGGCTGCTTACCTCAGAGTGCCTGCTGCAGAGCAAACAAATGCTTCCATTCTGGATCCGGCCCCTGAAATCCACCTACCATGCCCCCATGGCTGGCACAAAGTGAAGAGCTTCATGATCAACCACATTTATTTAGTTTGGCTCACACTTGGGCAGACCTAAAACTCTAAGCCAGATAATGTTCCTCCCACATACAAATACGCTGCAAACACACCTGGCTCAGAGTTCTGTTGACTTTGAGTTAATTAACGTAAAACTGAGTGTTAGCTATAGCTATAGAAAGCTGGCAAGATCTTATTCCCTTAACTCTGCTAAGATCTAAATGCTAGGCATGCCCGTCACCCTGCTCATGGTGGCTGCCCACACATGGAATGTGTCCGTTCAGGTTTCTCTATGACTCCAACTCACCTTTACAAAGCCCCAACTCCAGCATTCAGGGGGAGCCACACAGACCCCAGGACCTTCCAGCTGGTCCTGCCCATCATCGAGACTCACAGACCAGACGACTCAACAAAGAAAGAGACTATTTTCTTTTTCTAGCTAATGCTATATTTACCCAGTTCCCCTGCATGTCTCTGAATCTCCTTTTATTCTAGCCCTTCAAGGAGGCCTTTTCTCTCCAACCCTCTACATTGCCTTTCAGGAGATGGATGGGTTTGTTATTTCCATGGCATCATGCAGACATCGAGGCTATTGTTTGCAAGGAGGCCTTTTCTCTCCAACCCTCTACATTGCCTTCCAGGAGATGGATGGGTTTGTTATTTCCAGGCTATTGTTTGTGGACCACACTGGCCCAGAAGGAGGGTTTCCTGCCTCTAATTAGAACCATCAGGCAGGGCTAATGTTCCCTCAAGAAACATCTCTGGACCTTTGATGAATGAAGAAAAGAATGTATGAATGATTATATGCTCACTTAAGCCCAGATCCCCATCCACCCCATAAAGTCTGTCAGAGACCATTGTTAGTTTTGAGAATTTTAAGAACAAAATTCTTTCACCTATGGAAGGGGCCCATTGTGGCTGTGCCGCATATCTGATTTCCACCAGCTTTGGTTGCCATACTACCCCAAACCTGCCAGGAGATGAACTCAATAAATAAACCAGGACAGGCTATGTGGCTCTGTCCCACCAAGTTACAGAAAATGCCCCCTGAAAACCACCATCTGGCTTTTGACATAATCACCTGAAGAGTAACTGGACAACAGAAACATTGTTTTATTTGGCATCTCCTAGTATGCGATAGTAAAACCACGATATCAAATAGAAGTGCATATGTGTCCTCCAGGGTAAGGGGGATGGACCATATAATATTATTCAACCATAAAAAGGCTGGATGAAATTCTGGTACATATTACAACATGGGTGAACTTTGAAAATATGATGCTAAGTGGACAAAGCTAGACACAAAAAGATAAATATTATGATTCACTCTGTGAAATATCCAGATTAGGCAAATCCATACAGACAGAAAGTGGGTTTGTGGTTGCCAGGGGCTGGAGAGGGGTCGGGGAATGAGAGGTGGCTCCTAATAAGGATGGAGTTTCTTTCTGGTGTGATAAAAAATATCTTGAATTAGAGAGTGGTAATCAATGAACAACTATGAATGTACTAAAAATATCCCTGAATTGTACACTTTGAAATGGTGAATTTCATGGTGTGTGAATTACATCTCAATGAAGCATTTTTTTAAAAACAGAAAAAGAAAAAAAGCATTGAATTACCTACCTAAGAATAGAAATGATGAGTAGGTAAGGGGAGGTTTAGCCATTTGTTTGAGATTTAATCAGTTATAAGAACATTTCCACCCACTTTTTTTTTTTCTCACAGGTGTTCCAGGAAAGTCTTTACAGAAGTACTAATAGTCTTGTGTCCACCATGTGTACAAATGCTTGGCTTCAAGCCTTTACTGGCCACAGAATCAAAACCTAAATCAACAAAAACTGAAAAAATGTAATATGACATTTTTGGCCTTTAAAAAGGTGAGCAGAGCAATAGACTCACAGACCGGTTGAGTTTAAAACTTGCTTGCTGATCTTGCAATTCGTCGTACTAGAAGATTTGCTGGTATCAAGAGCTGACAGAACAGTTACCAGTGAATAGACCTGTTATCCATATGTTGCAGAAACTCAACCCCCTTTACTGAGCATTTAATACCAAAGGTTCCTCAAAAAAAAGCTATAGATCTTTGACGAATGAATGGATGAATGAATGAGGGACTTGGGAAAAACTAGCTTCATGCACCAGTTTTTGTACAAGTCCAGTGATTACGTTTTCCACTAGATTTCAAATTACCTGCCATACAGACAATTTCAACAATTTTCATCCACCTGGTGGAAACTTTACCCCTTTCCCCAAAGAAGGCATTTCTCCTGATTTCTCAATCCGCCCAATGAAGGTAACCCCAGCTGTTCCTTCTTCACTTCATAGGGAACTTACACAGACAAGTAAGGACGCGCCCTTGCCTGCTATGAGCTAAATCTTTGGCAAGACTGGGCAGTGTGCATACCAGGCCTTGAGAAATGCAGGCCTTCATTTGAGCCTTAGCTTCTGAACTGCCCACATTGCATCCCTGTCTTACTCATCTTGACCTAATTGCCCTATTCAGAGGCCTCACTGGATCCTTTAAGCACCAGACGACCCACTTGAATCACACATATGGTGTTTTGGCTTTCCCTCCATTGGCTCTTCTTCCGATTGGTTTTCCCTCTTGCATTTATACCTGATCCTCCTTCCCTGTGTGTCATCTCTCACCTGTGTGTCATTTCCACTTAGGGCCAGGAGGTCAGAGAAGATGGAAGAGGGGTATTGGTTCACGTTCAGCTGGAAAATCCGAGATATTTCCATATGGCAGCTAAAGTGAAGGGGTGAGAGGGCCTGGTCAACCGTTGAAATCAGTAACATCTGAGGTGGAGGTGGAGGTGGAGATGGACTGTGAATTGATAATAGAGACGAATCCGTGCTGAACAGATTGTCCACCCCGCCCCTGGGCCGGTGGTGATCGTTATCCAGAGCCAGAAAAGAGACTGCATGGTTCAATAAGTGCTGCCTTCCTCCAGACCACAAAGCTGAGTCGGATGGGAAAACCTGCAACACAGAAACGGTTGTGAAAGGGATCCAGCAGAACGTCCAAGAGGTCAACTGTCCCCCTCTATCCCTTCCTCCCCGCAGCCCTCTTAGTGACAATCCAGTCCTCTATTGGCACACCCCTGCCCCTCCTCACTTCCCAAGAAGAACTGGCCTCATCGTCTTCCTTCCAGGCAGTCATCTCTGCAAACTGTCACTGCAGTGATCGACACGTCCCCTACACTCCGACAATCCTTCCCTGGTACCTGCCATCATACACACTGAACTAAGGGGCTGTTGCTTAGATCACAAATATTAGCAGCTACAGCTTACTATCCTCATTTCTCCAAGCCTAATTTTAAAAGGTATTTTCAAACACATCATGAATCTTTACCTTATTGTCCCTAGAGTCATCCCTAAGATGCCCCTATTCCTTTTCTCATGTTCTTCCTTCTACCTGGAATGTCTTCTCTGTCCCCTTCTCCACCTGGAAAAATACTCCTATTTACACATCAAGACCCGGCAGAAATGCCTGTCCCTGACATGGACCCTTTTGTGAGTCTGGTGAGATCTACAGACCCTGCTCAGGGTAACGTTTTTAAATGCATAAAATAAAATACAGAAGTTACATGGGAAACAAATTATGCTAAAATATAATTATCAAAACATTTTTACACTGATGAAATATTTAAAAACTCACTAAGTAAGGTACACTGGAGCACCTGGAGCTGAGATGACCAACATGTGCCATTTTGCCCGGTAGTTTCCCATTTTAACTGAAAATCCTGTGTCCTGGGAGCCCTCTTGATCCTTGGAAAACTGGGAGAGTTGGTCACCCTACCTGTAATGTGGCATGAAAATATCTGTGATTTCGAGGGTTACGGTCGTGGGTACAGCTAACGCTGCTGTGTCTGCTGCCTGTGTTCTTCACGGAGGAAAGACCATCTGTCAGGTAGAGGTTAGTGGAAATAAAGATGTGATCATTTTTTTCTAACCAAGTTATGTATCTCCCAAATCCTATCTGTGGTCATCACCCTTCCAGATTAAGAGCCC